TTTACAATCAGAATTTCTGCTTGCAGACTCTTTAGTTTCTGTAAATGATTTTTTTATTGACCTTATGCTCCAGCAGTGATGGTTTTATGAGGTCTTCTCCAGTCAAGTATGTATGGATATCATTCCTGGGAGATGTGCAGTAAGCACATGGTGGATATGCAGACAAGCAGATATTGAATTATCAAACTTAAATATAAATCTACTGGGAGTACTGTCTTATATGAACTTCTCTGAATAAAAGCCAGTGAAACAATTTACTATTACTTCTCTCAGGAGAAGAATTAAACATTAATTACTGATGGTACTTTTAACTAGTGTAATTATATGCAATGGCTTTAGAGAAGTAGAACTAAAAAGCCAGACTGCAGGCAGTGAGCTGCTATTGCAAGATCTGCACGACCTTGTAAGGAATGTAGTCAGCTAGTGTGAAGTGAATGGCTACAGACAGAAGTAGCAAGAGAAATAAAAATTAAAAGAAAAGAGAAAATTCTCTTCTGAAACACTGGGTGGACAGGACAGGTAACCCAACCTACCCTGGGAAACTTGTTTTGATTCTTTTTGGGGTGGGGAAATCATCATGCAAAAGACTAAATCAGACTTTTTTGTTGAAGCATTATCGATAGTTTTTGGCTCAACAGAGCGTGTTTCTACAAAGTGGAAAACTTTTCCACTTAGAAAAATCTTAGGATTTTCCCCTTGAGAAATACAGAACATATGCAATTGACATTCATTTAAATTGTGTTTAGACATGGTCTGTTAGTCTTAATTTCAAATCTGTTAATTATATTCAGCTATCAGACCTCTGAGATGCTTATTTTTGGAGAATGTAATTTTCTGTCCTGAAGAACAAAATGTTTGGACTAGCTGTAAAATAAATAAGAAATCTACTTTAAAGAGTAAGAATTTATAAGAACAAAATAGAATAAATGTGAATCTCAGACTGTGTGTTCTGAAAAAAGTAAAAAAGTTCCCACAATGAAATGATTCCACGTTGTTTTCAGCTAGATGTATTGTTTTCCTCTTAATGGTTCAGCTGGAGTAGAGTCAACACAAGTGCCCAGACAATTCCAGGAAAAGGGATTGGTCCCATCCAAAATTTCATTCTACTGCAGAGGAGTAGGCTATAACTGGACACGATATTAGTATTTTTAACAAATACTGACCGTACAGTCATGTTTCCTATTCAGATTTATTTATATTCTTTTATATAGTGAAGCTAAATGCTGTCTTTTTGTGTTTAGAATCATCATGCAATGGCACGATAAAATGCTAACATATAAATAGTGATGATAAATGAGTCTAGTTTTCAGGAAATGCATCACTATGGCACAGCAATGTCATTTGCAACAGAAGCTTTATAATAAGACAAAAGGATACCACCCCCCCACCCCCCCCCCCCAGTTGCAGGATTAAAATGCAAATTAATTTGAAGTAGTATGGATCTTCCCTTCTTGGATTAGATCTCTGATTAATTTATGACACTTCATTACTGTGTTTATTTATTTATTTATTTGCATTGTGGTGGCACATAAAAAAAGGTGACAAATTAAGGTCTTGTTTGTGGTAGGTGTTATATGAACTAGAGCAAGAAGAAGGTCTTTGACATGAAGGATTTTAAAGTAGAGACAGCAGAAGATGCAGAAACAAAAGAGCAAGGAGATATTGAGGCAATTCTGATTAGAATGGTAGGCTGTATTCATAGTCCGGTGTCTGCCTAAGTATTGTCTACTTGGTTTGGGTTTTCTTTTTAATTTGTTTCTGAAAGTCATCACAACAGAGTACTCTAGAAAAAGAGATAGCACTGCAATGGAGGGACAGTTTAGGATCAGTCCTGGAGCAATGTCTTTTGAAGTCAAATGTGTGGGAGGGAAATAGCATTGTGGAGGCAGCAGAGACGTAATTCTATGTAGGTAAACTATACTGGAGTTTAGAAGGTGGCAACGTAATTCTGGAGGAGGATATTCTTTTTTTTTCATCAGGTATTTTTGGGGTTGTGGATAAGGGAGAAGATAGCTTTATAATTAAAACATGCTATACAGACAAAAATAATCTGCAAAATAGACAAGTTTATGCTTATGTTTGTTGGCAGAAACCACATTTTCAGAGAAAAGAAACTTATAAAAGTATTTCCTGAGTTGGAGTGCCTTTGTCAGAAGTGATAATGATAGAGGATGTAGGAAGACAGAATTTACATGAAGGCTTTTAATTAAAACCAAATGCTTATTTATAATTAATTCCTGAACTTCTTGGCAAGCTTTAATTTCCTTTTCTCATCACTGAACAAAAAGATGGATTTTTCTTGCTAATTTGACTAAATAATTTGCACCCTTATTCTAATTTATAGGGTTGCTTTATTGATAGAAAATAAGCAGCTTGTAATTTGAATGGTTGGTGGTATGTTTTAGCCTTACACTGGTTTTATACAAAGGAAAAGGCTGGGTGGTCATTTTGGGAACACTCCTAATTTCAGCCATTTTACATTTGATTTTATCTGTAACCTGTCTCTTTCTACCTGCATCTTTTCAGAGATGTAAACAAGATGACAGACTTGTAAAGCGCTTAGTACCTTTTCCTTTCTGTTGACACTGAGCGCTGTGGAGGGCTGAGCCCTAGGAAGAAGAGTGCCACTTTGTAGTCATATGAAGTAGAAAGTAGAATTTTTATAGGATTAAAGAAGTTTTTTTGAGCTGAACCCAGCTGTTTATGAAAAAGGACACTCTGCTCCAATGCCTTTTAACTTGGAGTCAGTTGCAGCTCAGGAGAAAGCATGCTATTTGCTGAAACAGCAGTATTTGCCAATGCACAAATATATCCCACATCTTCTGCTAATGTAAAGGCTTCTGAAAATGTCTCCCAGTTAGATATTAATGAGACCAAGTACTGCTAAAACAATTAATTGTGACGTGGTCGTTGTCTTGGGGTATAGGGCTGTTGTCAAAATGGTTTGAAGCACTGAAATGGGAAAACAGGAAAAAAAGTCTGTAGTACAAGACATTATTTTATCCAATGTCCTCCACCCCTGAAGTCCCCAAACCTGCTCTCCCCAATAATGTAAAGTTTTGAAGAAATGAGCAGATGTAAGGACTTGACGTCACCTCAGTTGAATGAAATGAAATAGAAGGTCTGTCCTTATGTAATGAAATCAAGGCAGACAGCAATAGGAAGCAAATTATTGAATAATAAGGTCACAGATTGTGCTGGGGAGCATTCATGCTTTTTGCAGAAACTTCTATCCTTCCTATGGCAGCATAAAGGATTTCCTTACACCTCGGTGTCCAGGGAGTTTCTCATTGTGTCTTAGAAGAAATGGTAAATGTAAATTAACAGAGACAATTTACTGAGTTTTTTCACTTCATAATATGGGTGAAGACACAGTAAAAATCCTCTCGCTGAATTCAGAGAGGATATGGACATAAATAGCCATTATTATTAATTATTTAGTGGTAAGACAATTCATCACAGTCCTGAGAAAGAGGGCTCCAAGGCACATTTTGACTCAAATGTTCTCTGAAGAAAAAGTGTCCTAGGGTAACAAGACAGTGCTCTGTTCCAGACATTTTCATGGCATCTGCTGAAGGTGTTGAGGGACTATGAAGTAACTGTCAGGACATGCAAATCAGCCATGAGGAGTATTTGGGATCACAAATCCATTTCTCAGCATTCTCTACAGAAACTAAGTTATATTTAGCCATAACCTAAACCTTGGTATTTAGACATCTGTTCATACACATATTTATATTTGTGTATGCATTTATATGTATTTACATGCATGGATAAGGAGTCTTATCACCAAAGACATCTATGCTACAGTTCTTCTCACTCTAAGCTCACTGTATAAGAAAAATAAACACCTAAGAGCATGATTTAGTACAGCTAAAATGTGAATCACTCTTTGAAAGTACATATGCACTGACTAGAAAGACCTTGAAAATAAAGTTGCATACCTAGAGTATAAAACTGTACTGACTCTCTTCTTCCTGTTAAACTTTTCTTTAGATATTAAAGAAAAATGATTTTCCCATTATTCAAAACATTTTCAATTTCAGGAAAAAAAAACCCAGCCATCTCAAATCAAATCAAAACTAAAATCACTTTGTATCACTTTATGCAACAATTTCTTTCTTTTTTTTTTTTTTTTTTAATGGAAGAATTCCTGACCAGAGTCTATTTCTGTTCGTTTGTTTTAGTTTGCTGGAGTGTGATGTTTCCATTCTCTGCAATTTTTCCTGTTTTCATTTTAATGGTTATGAAATTATCAGTTCTGCAAAGGTTTATATGTAATCATATAAGATAGTTTCCCAAAATGTGGTATAAAGCAGTAGCTTCCAGCTACTGATGGGGAAATGTTTGCCTTATTTAAGAGTTTAATAATTCTGCATAGGCTGTTGGGAGTCATTCCTGCCTGACTTTATGAAGACGCGTATATTCCAGATGTTACAGTCCGGACAGTCTATCTGTATGTAGAAAGGCACTGGGGTGGTAAAGCAAGAACCACCACAGCAGCAGTTGTTGCTGATCTGGCAGGGGGTGGTGAATGCTGATTGTTGCCCTGTGCTCCCAGAGGGACTGGTGCATTTTGCAAGTGGGAAAGCCATTCTGGTAGGCACGGGGAGTCCTTGGTTGTAGCACCTGAAGGAGGAAGCAAACTCTAGTTTTCATGTGCTGGTATGAGTGTGAAGTATGGAGGTAGGGGGGGAAATGGAGAAAGAAAGAATTGAGTCATGGCCACTTCGGTACTTTCACGAGGCTGGCACAGAATGGACACCGACAGCTACAGGTGGTATACAGGGCTCCATTTGCTCCCTCTGATGTGTACATATATAGTTGAAGCTAGAGATTTAGAGAATGCAAATTTAATAAAGGATACAAAGCGCTTGACATTTCAAATGAGAACAAAATATGGCATTATTTTAATCACAGGTATGCAGTGGCCTTATGTATCACGTGTTGAATTTAAAAAGATACCTTTTAATTTGGATTTGCATTTTGATGAATTTCAGGTACAAAGCAATTGTAAATCCCATGGACATCCAGACCTCCAGTGCAGTGCTATGGACCTTTCTTAAAGCCATTGCCATCTGGGTAATTTCCATGCTTCTAGCAGTTCCTGAAGCAGTGTTCTCTGAACTGGCCCACATCAATGACACGGATAATGTCACTTTCACAGCATGCATACCATACCCCATGACGAACGACGTGCACCCGAAGATCCATTCTGTGCTGATTTTCCTTGTGTATTTCCTTATCCCTCTTGCTGTTATTAGTATCTACTACTGTCATATTGCAAAGAGTTTAATAAAAAGTGCTCACAACATCCCTGGAGAATACAGTGAGCATTGCAAAAGGCAGGTAAGCAATTTGCTTTCTACATCCACATGAAAGACTTGTGTGCTGTATACACTTACAAATGAAAGTACAATGAAAGGGTCTATAACATCCAAATTGTTGGATTTCATAGAGGATCAGTTCAGTTTCCATGTGCATGAACTAAGCCAAGGATTACCTGAAAAATCTCCATGTTTTGCAATTACTCAGTATTAAGCCCAGTATGTAAATAAATGTAAAAAAGGGAAAGTATAAATTCACTGCCATCAATGTGTATTCCTAACAAGCAATGGGATTGCTATATGTGCTTATATGTGTTGTTATTGTAACCATTATTTATGTTATTACTGAGAAACAATGGTTTTGTAGTTAATCCTAGTGGCTTCACCTGTCTCTGTAGGCAGCCATTTTGGGAAGAAATCCTGCATGAACTTTTGGAGAATTATCCCTTCTTGCTTGAAAATGAAAAAACTGACATAGGTTAAACCTTTTTTAGGAGATCTAAGGCTCGTCTCAGACCAAGGAGTGCTGGAAATATGAACACAGGGCATGAACTGATTCTTTCTGGGCTTTCTATCTTTATTGGATACAATTGTAAACTTGCACTTTTCTAATACCCTTTCTATTCTAGATGCTGTAAAACTTTCAGTATAGGTTCTGTATACCTTTGAGACAAAGCATTTTAAAATGCTAGACAAAGCCAGCTTCCTTGTAAGGCACAGGAGGCAATAAGGCTGTTCATTAGAACATATACATACAACAGCTTTTGCAGTGAAAGCGCCTTTAAAAAAGCTTTAGTATTGGTAGAGAAAGATGCTTATGCCCATTAAAACATTTTGGAAGGGTTTTCTCTGCCAATATTTTAGAAAAGACTTTTATACTTACTGAAATCTCCTTGCATATATAGCATGTACATATTCTTTTAAAACCAAAGACCACATTCCCTCATGTCCTTTTTGCTTGACATTTCATTTCTACTCTAAATCTGTTTCTCGTCAAAAAGGCATATATATTAGCACTTCATGTATTATTTTATTTTCCTGTGAAATATAGAGAACCTTTTGGCTGAACCCTCAGGATGAAAACAATATATAATTCATATCACATTTCTGAACCCACATGTATTTTCAAAGCAAGAACATAGTTTTTCATTCTACTTAGGTTTTTTCTTTTTGTTAATCTATGAGGCTCAGAACGATGGAAAGTTCTGGTGTACTTGCATATTTCCCAGCAAGAAGAAATAAATTTAGACTATTGTTATCAACTCAATTTTCTTTAGGCCATACCACAAAAGCATAATATTCACACAATACCTCTGCATCTTTTAGTCTGCCTTTGCAATCTGTCTGAGTGCAAATCCTATCAAATTTGAATGTTAGAGTTTTCCCATCTTTTGTGAATTCCCCAATTGTTTTGTTTTAGGTAGAGCCAAGAAAACTACTTACATATTTATTTCACAGATTTTGAAACCCTGTTAGAATAAATTAACTTCATTTTGTGGTTGTAGTTTTTTTTTAGGTTTGGTTTTTTTTTTTTTTCCTCAGAAATTGGGAAAGCCATAAACCTTGCCTGCCTTTGCAAAACTTTGGTACCTGACATACATAAGTAATCTTTTGGGAGGAATATACAGAAAGTTTCCGTCTCCCTCTGATGCCTTCTACCTGTCCAGTTTCTCACCCTCTCTCAGTTTGGAACCACTGTGTAGGCTCATTTCCTGTCAGCTTTTCAGCCATTCTCGATGTCTACATTGTTATCCATTATAGCTTAGGTACAGTTTAAGGTACATTTTTTTTGTGTCACTATTGAAGATTAACTGAATCTTTCACCTTACCCTGGAATTAAGATGCTTCAGACTGTGCAATGCAGTTTTTGTGGTTTGTCTAGGAGAGGTGTGAAAGGTGAGGAATTTCAGACAAAATAAAGGGATGTAAGTACCATTGTATAGCTAACATCTGAGCAATGTCTCCACATTTCAGTCACAATGTCCCTAGTTTTCAAAGGCAATGGTTTCTAAATAAACTGTCTAAGTAAAGCTGAGTTTCAAGCCAAGCACTGAGATCTCATCAGAAGAGGTTATGTTTCATGACATCCTTTGCTGTGTGCTTTCAGGCTAAAAGCCAGTGTTTACTTGGGTCATAAATCATACGTGCTGTGTATATCATATAGGAAGAGCAAACTTCTGTTACTGCAAACAGCCAGGATTTTTCACTGAAAGTAAACTGAGAGTGAGAAAAGTAAGTAAATGAGAGAAAAAGTAATTCAGCCTCTGAAGGAAGCATTTTTACTGGCCTTACTTGGAATACTTGTTAAAGCTAATGTAAAGAAAAATGCTACATGTTTTAATTCTGTTATGTGGAGTAGTTCTATTTGTTGTTGTTCATTTAGGTTCTCTTCATCTTTTCAGATGGAAACTCGGAAACGTCTGGCAAAAATTGTTCTAGTTTTTGTTGGCTTCTTTGCTCTCTGCTGGTTTCCTAACCATGTTCTATACATGTACCGATCTTTTAATTACAATGAAATTGATCCATCGACAGGACATATGGTTGTTACCTTAGTGGCCCGAGTACTAAGCTTCTGCAACTCTTGTGTCAACCCATTTGCACTGTATTTTCTCAGTGAGAGTTTTAGAAGACATTTCAACAACCAGCTTTGCTGCAGGAGGAAAGCTCAGCAAGAGAGATCCGCCAGCTACTTGCACAACTCTTCTGCTATTCAAATGACTTCCCTGAAAAGCAATATCAGGAACACAGTGACTAGCATGACACAACTGAATGGGCACAACTTGAAACAAGAAATGGCATTATGATTTAATAGGTGTGATTTTTGGCTGTGGAAGATTTGCACTTTTTCTTTGCAGTTTGCATCTCATTTTTGGCTCTCATGCTTAGACTGAGATGTCACAACAAAGGATCTGCTAAATCTGGTGAATTGGAGGTTATTCACTTCTAGTGTTACTTTTAGATAGAAGTGAAGAGTTTGTTTTATTGAGAAAACAAAACTGACTGGCTGCATATTGTAATTTAAAGGAGATGCTGATATATATTTAACATATAAAAAAATACATCGATGGTGTGAGTTTTAGTGTAGCTGATCTAACATTACTTTAAAAAGTGTAGATTTTTTTGATCTAAAAAATATGTATTTTTAACTGAATATTTATCCAGACTTATGTGTTACTTAGGTTTTGCATGATTCTAGCTGTGTGGTGTGTACAAGCATTGTTCATTAAGACTGGTAGGCATTTTGGACCCAATTAAAGAGCCATTGCAATGCATAGATTCTAGTTTCAGAAAAAAAAAGAAGTCAAGTATCATGTTCCACATTTTTACCTTATCTGAATCTCCCTGTTTTTTTTCACTTTGGCAGACATACATGATGAGAATTTACTTTTAGGGGGTTCTGTTTGCTGTTGAGGTCAGAAGTTTATCTACTAAAATTAACTGCTTTTCATAATTAATGTCTCAAAATAAAAATGTTGTGTTCAATATGCAGGTTTTCTAGAACTCAGTGTCTGAAAATTCATTTCTCTGATGCGTAACTCTGTGACATAATTGGTTCAGAGTTTCTACATGCTTTATATTTGCTACTACTAACTGATCTTGCTGATATCATTACACAGCTAAGAAGGAGTAAGTGTAAAGGGATGGCGGAACATTCAAAGAGGTAAGATTCAGAGTGGCTTTTTCAGAGAGGGTCTGTGGCAAGGCTTGCTGCAGCTCAGAGCAGTCTTAGAGCGCAGAATGCAGATTGTGTGCCAGACAAAACCAAACTGAAGGATGTCCTGCAGGAACAAACCTAACATGCTCTGATCATTAATGATCATCCAGCCCATGCTATCAGACAAATTCTAGTCTGAAATAACTCCCAAGCGATGAAACATGGGGAGCTAGCATTGTTTGCTAAGTACCAGCTGTTTGCTGCCTAGGTCTATTCTTCTTGCACACAGTTTACAAGCCTAAACAAAGCGTAAGTACTGTTGAAAATCTCAGTTTTAAAAGACACTTTTTCTTTTCCTTGAAGGTCCTTGTGCATAAATACTCAATGCACTTCTGAAAATCCTAGTTAGGTTGCCTAAACAGATTTTCAAATGTTTTTTGTGGGTCATCCCAGTGGCATGGCCCATGCATAGGTCTTTGTCAGTATTCCCAGGAAGTAATTTCTAGGGTACATGGTCAGTGCAGAGCTGGGATTAAAACATCAGGGAATGGTGGGTGAGGCTGTAGTTGCCAATGACTATCCTGTCCAGAATTAATTTGCTGTGAGGGATTATGGTTCTGTCTTTTCATTCACACTCCTCTGCTGGAGGTACCCTATGCAAGGCTTCCAGAGCTGCCCTTCAGACCACAAGAAAGCAAGCAGTTCAGATGTAAAACATCTCATCTTTTGTTTTTGTTTTTTTAATCAGTTTTTGTGTCCACACAGAGAGTTAAATAGACAAAATGACTGAAGCTTGTTGCTGCAAAAACTCATGTAAGGCTACCCATATTAAAGTTTCTAATCTGTCTCAGGGCTGCACCAGTTTTTGCTGAAATAACTAATGGGGACAGAGCAAATCCCCCCATATACAGCTGCATGCTGTCAGACTAATATCTATTCCCCAAGCCAGGTGAGGAGTTAGGTGGGGCAAGGATCTGTTTTGGGTGTGAGCTCCAGAGAGGAGAAGCTCACAATATCTTTCTTAGAAGAAGGGGAAGTAATGGCAGACAATGACACCTTGTAGAAGCAGGGCTTTTTTATGGCCAGTTCATGAGCCAAATGTCATTTTAAATAGCTTTTTCTTTCAAATTGGGTGGAAGAGCTTCAGCACAGATCTGTCTCTGTCACAACACTGTAGCCTGTACTTCTGCAGTGACTTCTCCAAGGTGAATAGTAGAAAGTACAATAGAAATATAGATTGGATTTTGAAAAAAGTCCTGTAATTTCAAAAGCTGATGTACTAATACTGCAGCATCTTACAGTTCCCTTTGTCCTTATTAATGCACTTGCTGTTACTTAGTTCTATTTGTAACCTTTGAACCAGCTGAAGTTCAACATTTCTTTTGCAATTCCCCTACCATCAAGGTTATTTATACCCCTACCCCAGTTTTTAAGGCTACAAAAAGGTATATTGATATAATCTGGAAATTATTTTAACTAGTTACCTAAGAAAATCCCTAACTGTTGCCATTCAACAGGGAAAGTAGCAGATTGAAGTTCTGCATGTCAACTAGCATGGTCCGGTTGGTGAGACCTACATTATGTAATGTAGTTAAAGTTGTGTGCAGCATTCAAATGAGAAAACTTGTGAAAACCAGTGTAGACCAGCTCCAAACCACATGCCCTAGATGACTGCAGCGGCCCTACGGCTTCAGTGGCTCCTTGGAAAACTTTATGCAAAGCAGCAGATTGGCACGAACTTGTAAATCTATCTGTAACAGTTTAGGAAATTGTTATCTATTACTGCCTAACACTGCTTTGTCCTCCTTTTTTCTCCATTTCACCTTTTCTCTTTCTCCATGCCTCAGTTCCATATGAGCCCACATGTTCTTAGAACTCCTCTTTAATTTTATGCCACTAATTCTTCCTGGATGCCAGCCAGAGTTTTGGATTCCTCCCTTCTGATGAGTCTTGAATCATTTTTACTCATGGATATTTTACACCCACAAAACACAAAAGCTTATCCTCCTTTCTGAACTCTTGATGGTGATCATTGACTGTGATCAAATTTCCCTTTTATTTCTGCTTTTTTTTCCTGGTTCACTGCTTCTCATTTTGTTTTCCAATTTCTCTACACAACATAACATTTCATAGGACTTCTAAATCCATTGTGCATTTTATTTCCTGAAGGCATTTGTCTGATGTAGAAATTACCAGATGATACAGGTACCCTACTGGAAAAATAATAATCTAATGTATAGTAGATTTGATGCTTGTGTTTGATTCAGACTCTTCACTCAGGGCCTTAAGTTGCTATGCGATATGGACAGCATGAGTCTGCCTTCTGGCAGAACTGCAGGATACAGCCTGTTGTTTTTGTTGTGTGGGAAAGGTATTCCCAGATAGACTAGAACTCCTTATTACTAGGAAATCAGCACAATTTTTGTTCATTGTTTCCCAGGCCTTGTACTCAAAGCCTGTTTTGAGTAAGTATTGTATACACTTTCTCTCAAATTCTTGTAGTGTGGTGTGAGGGAATTAGGTAATCTGTCTGGACCTAGTTAACCTGGAGCATTACTAGATATATTGCTAACCCTATAAGGACATTTTACTGTGCTTTTGTGCACATTGTGTATAAGTGCAACAGTATATATGATGCTATTTCCAGACAACACTTCTTGCTAACAATTAAAAAAAAATATTGTAGAATGCAGTATTTTCTTCTAGCAGTAGTCAAAGCAACAAAGGAAATCTGTAAATGAGATCATGTCAGCTTTTCAGGTACTACATTGAGGTTTATGCCAGAATAAAGTTGTTAAAATACCATTTTATTATTTTTTGGTAAGAAAACATTATTTCAGAAGCACCAGGTCTTTTCTGTCCTCCTCTCCTGAGTTTTGAGTTGGTTTCTTTAAAAAATATTTTCACAATGATTGAGAAAACTACCAGTCTTTAAAAAATGAGAGAACAGAGTTTCCCTGTTTCCTCTATGTGAGACTTTTTTCTCCTAGACTAGAGCCAGTACAAAATAAGTCTGATAGCATCTTGTCACCTCACCCTGCCTGTAATAGAAACATTGCAACTCTGAATCCTAAAAGTATGGTTGAATTCTCAAAAGAAGGGTACTTCATTTAGTATTATATTGTGAAGTGATGTCTTCCACAAAGCCACTTTGGTTACAATAGATAACAACGTCTTTACTTTTCACAACACACCTGTCCCATAGATTTTTTTTTACTTAGTCAAAACAGATTCATGGAAATAGAAGCAAAGAAGAGTCAGTTTGGGAGTAGAAAAGAAAAATGCTTTCTCATAATTTAAATGGACTGATACTAAGTTGAAGATTCACAATGTTGATTTCCAGTACCTTTTCTTTCTTCACTTGTTTCTAAAATGATATTCTGACAATAGTCAGCCTTTCACTAACACCACAACTCAGTGTCACAGAATCACTGGAAGCCTTTGAAAATCCATCCGTATATTTATACTGCTTGTAATGAACAGGGCTTTACATGGATGCTACTAGCTTCTTCCATCTTTCTGGTCCCATGATGAGTCTTCTTTATTCTCCTGCCTAGAGAGAGGCCCCATCTACTGTGCCAGAAGTGGACACAGGAGGAGGAAGAATAAAACCAAGGATAGACCAAAAAACCATGTCTTCAAATGGTCTTTGCTGCCTCAAAGAGTGCCAGTATGACTGCATTTTGGCAAACACAGTCTGAAAGCACAAAAATTTTAATAGGTTAGAGATCCCTTGGGATGTTGATGAGAGACAGACATTTGGAAACGTACAGCTCAAGAGCTGTATATTCCCAAATACTTAGAAAGTTTTATATTTCAAGAAATATACAACAAAAGTAGAACTAAGTACAATTCACAAGTACATTCAGACGCTTCTGGGATTGGTCCTGATCCAGTGGAGTGAAAAGGGAAGTCTGGCTGAAGAATTTGACTCATGCTTTACATAACAGCACATCTTGCAGCCGCTAAGCTGGCAGGTCAGTGCCAAAAGTATATTGCTTAGCCAGAACTGCTTTTGATTTCTGTTTTGATTTAGGCAATTGTCTAATTCAGTTTTGACAAGGTGCCTTCATTTCTAATTGTTTCTGACTTGTTTCTGTCTCCCTGTTCTACTGCTGTCTTGGTGACTAGCAAGAATACAAAAGAATTCTGTTTGATTTCAATGAATATCTGTTAATGACTTTTAAGCCAGTAGGAAGATGGCAATATAGTGGAGCCAATTTTTTTTCTTTCCTTTTTCTCTTGGGGCTATATTTGAGGTTTTTTGGTGTATGAGGTAAATTCAAGAATTTTGGATTTTGTATTACAAGATGATACACTTGGTAAATTTCTATAGCATTGACTTGGAACAGAAAAGGTGTAATATGGAACTAATCTGGTGAGCTGGTTTTGATCTGTCAGGAGGGGGATTTTGTTCATTTTTTAAACAAGGGAGATAATTTGTGTATCAGAAGCTCTCTGTCATTACTAGCTCAATGCACCCTGTAGTGCAACTTTGATTCAGAAAAGACACTTCTGTTGAGTAGACACAAGAAGATATTAGTGCTGTATCTCTCCCAAGAGGCATGGCACTGTAGCTTAGCTGCTTTAAACACTGTAGTTCTGAGCTGCTCCATGAACCAGTCTATATTACTGCTGCCCCATG